CCAGAGTACCAAAGATTTAATTGATTGATTGGCATCAAGTTTACTTGGCATTGTACAGTTGCAAATGTAGGTGCAGAAAGCATAAAAGACATGGCAAGGGTGCAGGACTTACCAAGTTACCAGTCCTGGTAGCAGCTTAAACATAAGGAATGCCTGCAATCTGGCAAAACAACTTTGCTATTGGGTTCCAAACAGATCCCACATTCTGCTTCTCTCTCTAATTCAACCTCGGAAAGCTTCCCTTTGCTTGAGTACCGGAGGGAACATATTTCTTTCTGCTTGATTTCTTCAAAATCTGTAATCCCTCTTAGGATTTGCAATGAGGGGAAAATGATTTCTGCAGAAACAAGGGGTCATCTGTAAAGACAAAATGCAGCAAGGGAATTATCTATTCTCCACCACCTTGTAATAACTGACTCACCATAAAAGTCCCTTATGCTTGCTCTCCTTTCTTTGATATACATGGAGGTTTTGCCATCAGCATACGCCTGCAACATAAAAAAGAATCCCATTCTATAATTGCTGCAAGATTTTCTAACAAATAGAGATGTTCTTAAGAAACGTTAGATGCCAAGGGTACAGTTGGATTCCCGACTACGATACAGAAGAGGGACGAAAACTGCTCGCAAAGCTGTTTTCTTGTGTATGGTTTTACTTTAAAAATTCCGAGGAAAAGGAAATATTATTTGTGTGTATGTGTACGCTTGTGTATAAAAATTTACCTGCATTTATCTTTCTTAGCATTTATAAAACAGACATGAATAAATGAATTGAATGAGTATCAAGTTATCAACAAGTTTCCAAAATAAACTTATTGAGTTTTATTTCTTTCCAATCACCCTCTACGTTTTCCTTCATATTTTGTTCCCATAACATTTTCCGGGATCCAAAGAACTCTTAAATGTAAGGCTAAGAGAAATATAGTGCCCAGACAGATTTTTTTGGAACAAGTGATAAGAGCGCCAAAATCACAAGAGACTCACCATATACACAAGAACTTGAAGCAGGCCAAGTGCACCAGCAACCTTACAATCAAACCACTGGATGAAAAAAAGGCAGAACTGTGCAGCTGGGCTGTATGACAGTCTCATTTGGATGCAAGCTCCATCTATTTCTCTGCCATAGCCTAATGCCCTGATGCAAAGAAGGAAATGAGAAAATTATTTTGCAAAACAAATAAAGCTGATAGTAGAATATATAACACCAAATTACTTCCTCGAGATCGAGTTTCAATTTACCCTAGAAAGTGTTATTTTTCCCATGATAGATGTATACTAAATGTACATACGTTCTTATAGCGCCAAACACGCTGTATACTAACAATAAATATTTATAGCACCAAACAAGCTGTATACTAACAACAAAGATATGTTTGTAGAGTTTCTAGATACATTCTTGCGTGGCAAGCATTGATTAGGTAACCAAATGTTAGTTTACTTTTCATTACCCAATACATTCATGCCGCATAACTAGATAAGAATGTAGCTAAAGAATGTGTAAAATAAATGTTTGTCCATCCTTACTCTGAACTAATGGTTACTGCTATTTTATACTGTCAGGAACTGAAAATCTCATGTTCCATTGAAGTTTAATTTTGTTAGAACTCTGGATTTTATGATAAGCCAATCCACTTAAGGACATACACATAATCCTCTTCTTTTCACCAAAGCATCTCAGCACCTATCTAGTGGACCAAAAGAACTAGCAAACCATTACCGTACTATCAATTCCAGCCAGTAGCATTGCCACTACCTAAAAAATTTCTGAAATCAGGATAGTCCCGGGAAAACATCATTCATATAAAATTTTACACAAAGTATGTATAAATTACATCTGAATTCTAATTTTTGCCAAACAAGGGTAGACCCGAGCCCGGTTGACCATCCTTTAGCAGTTTAGCAGTTTAGCTACACCCCAGATTCCAGCTAAAATAGTCGTTCAAGCCTTCTAGAGCTTTCTGTCCAAGCCTGAGTGCATCCTTTATTGAACATATAATTCTTTTTTTGTCAGTCCAAAAAATTGGAATACCAAGTTTTCGATTTTATCCTTTATCTATTTTTTTCATAGCTATATATTTCTGTATATTCGTATCAATTTATCTTATCTCTTTTAGAAGGTACTATATTTTCTATGAGACAAAAACAAACATACATACGAAATACAAATTTGCTAGGAACAAGAACAACTGTGCCTGTTACTCTTGGAAAGCAGAATTTGTCACCAGAACAGCATGAACAGAGCATGTCTGAGTTTATTTATTTCAAGTTAAAGTATAAATACAAAAAAGCTTCAGATTACACATCAATAATCCCAGAAAACGAACAATAAGCTTATTATTTACAGTTTTAGCCCAAAGGATTAAAAAAACCAGAGAGTTGAAGGGAGTTACATAGTGTTTGCGAGCTGAATATCAGCTTCCAGAGACTTCAGCGAATCCTTGAACGATCTTCCCATCGATTCTCTAAACCGTCCCAGCAAAGATGATCAAACCCCAATAATTCTCATTCAACAACTGATATAATAAACATAAACCTTCCGATTCCCGTGAGAAATATCTTCAACTCCACGTCTCTCCGATCGCCTGATCAACCAACCACAACCTACTTTCCAGAATTCTCACTCTACTTTCTTAAATACCCAGAAAAATAAAATCTTTCCCTTTTTTATTTCTTTTCAGATAAAACATTTGAAATTCATTTATGAGAAATGCGTTGTGTACACAGCGTTTTACACGCTCGTGTACACAACATATATACCCCTCCGTTTTTTACCTTTCCCCCTTCATCCTTTTACCCATCTCCCACCCCACCCACAATTCCCCTCTTTCTTCTCTTCCGTAACCTAACGCACAGTCCAGCCCTCTCTCTTCTTCCTCTCACCTCTTAGCCTGCTGGATTTCTTCTCTTCTCCCTTTTTAATTTATTGATGGTGAAATAAAAGGGACATAGCCATATGAAACAAAGGTAGACACCAACACTATGACGCAATGGACTTGACTAACATTTTTCTGGATGCACCATCTCCATCCTCAAATTTGAAGGTGAGTCTTCAATTCAAGCTCCAATTCTTAGATCTCTTTTCTTTCTCCTTTTTTCTTCTTCATTTGCAACTCCTCTTTAAAATTCTACCCAACTTCGAATTTCCTTTTAACCATCATCATGGAGATCTTTTTGTGTCTAAATTTTGATTGTTAGGTTAACAATTGACTCATTTTTATCTTAAATTTGGATTGTTTATCGTTTTTTCTTTCTGATTTTAGTAAATTAAATATGTTATGATGTTGAATTCTTGTCAATTTGTTCCTTTCATATAGGTTTGTGATGTAAATTATTGAAATGTTAATTGAACTAGCTTCATTATGTTTATACCCAATACATGTTTGTGAAAATGACTCAATGATTTTTTTCAATGTTTGTATATGTTATTGGGATGCAATGGGGGTGTCATAGCTTTTTGTTTTGTTTTAATAAAAATCATTTATTCCTTGTTAAGGGAAAAACAGAACTGTGTCTCCATGTACAAAGTTGGAGCAAAATGAAGGAATCCACTCAACTATTTGCTTGATTTTTTAAATCCTCAGGTTGAATCCACTCAAGTTGTCTGTGAGAGAGACAAAATAACTTGTCTACCACACAGACAATTCATGTTAAAAATGAAAAAAAAAAAGTGTTTACACACAGACAAAAAATTGATTCACAAACAACTTCACTTATCACATGTATGGACACAAATAATCAGAATTATTCATATTGAATTATGCATGTTTTCTTATAATTTGTTTTCTTTATTGTTATTATGCCCTTTGCAGTATAACATACAAATGTTGAAGATTGACAGGAACCATTTATGCTATTTGCATGACAAGATAATGAACCTTTGAGAGAGGTGTGTGATAAACCAAATGATGGCAAAAGGATTGAGGAAGTCAAGAATGAGAGATTTAGAATACAGGATAACAAAATATTTTATTTTTGTAACTAGCTATATAGTAAAGTTAATGTTCTTGTATTTAGAAAGATAGTGTGATTCGAGTTGCTAATGTCTTCAATGTATGTATTGTGTTGTAAAAGTGGATATTGTACAAGAAATTTGTGTTATTAATCCATATTGTAAGTTGACTTAAAAGGATATTGTAAGTTGTTTGTGAGCATGTATTTTTTGTTTTTAAAGTGAATTGTCTGTGAAACAGACAAAAGATTATGTGTGCCATAAACAATTTTTTTGTTGATGTCACACTCAATTCACTCTATAAAACACTTTTTTATACACAGACAAAATGACCTGAGCTGTGTATACAAAGTGTACATCTTAGAACATGTAACACATAAAAAGTAGTGATAGATGATAAAGAATCATTCCATGATTTACTACATATATAATTTACTATATATTAGAAAAAATAAATCATATTAATAATTTAAATTATTGTGGTTAATTTCAGACAAAATGAGTAGTGTTAATAATTGTGTGTGTAAACATTTTTTCATTTTTAGGTGAATTGCTTCTGTCACATACATCTTTTTTGTCTGTATCATAGACATTTCACACAATTCACAGACAAAATATATATAAAATTTATCTGTACACAGACAAAACTTATACACAAAAAATTGTCTGTAGCGTAAACAATTTATTGTCTATGACACAGACAATTCAATTTACGAATGAAAAAATATTTTTTAAAGGATGTTTGAAATTAACATGTGGTGTGTTTAAAATGTAATCCATCAGCCTTAAAGATTTTTTTCGAAGTATTTCTATTACACTACCCGAACAATTCCTCTTGAATCTCTTGATCAAGTAAATTCACCCTTAAAGGGTTTCTTCTTTTAAGGTATCGTCCATATGTTCATTTATTTTCTATGTAGTCAAAACATCGTATGTCTTTATTTATATTGCTTGTGCATGATTAAAACATTGTGCATTATTCGTTTACTTTGTCTTTGCATAGACAATAACCGTTGTCTGTGTATTCATTTATTTTGTCTGTCCGTGATATAAATGTCTGTGCTTTCATAATTTCTTAAAAGGGGAAGCAAACATAAGAAATAGCATTACAACATTTCCTACACATTTATAATTTTTTTGGGTCCCGAAGCAAACCACTCTAGGTGGGGGTAGTGTCGGGGAACACATCAATTATAAAAGTTTAAAGATACAAGAGTTTTACAGATGCATGGTTGAATGAAAAGGTACATATAAAATAAAGATACACTAGCATTTGAAATTTCTTGTTGAATTCAAAGTGTAGCTGAAAAATTATTGTTGAATTTGTTGTGGAACCTAATCGCCTTCTGCAAATATGGTTCATATGTTTTAGCCACCGGGTGGTATATTTATGATTCTTGAGAACCGCAGCCAGTTTGTGTGGTGAGTCGAATCTCGCGTCTACCGGGTATAGGAAGTAGTCGGTTTCATCTCTAGGTTTCTTGTGACCATCTCGAATTGATTTATAGGCACTGCTCTTTAATTTCCTGTTTTGGACCTGCACGAAACCGTCAAAGCTTTCCTCCCTGCTTGCTAATTTTCCTGTAATTGGGGAAATGTTAAAAAATAGAGTGGTCCTCAGATTGAGATTCATCATTGGACAAATTTGTGGTTAGGGTAGTTTCAAGTTCTGGTGGATTAGAATTGAATTAATCATCTCCGTTCGTTGTGTTGTGTTCTGTGGGAGCATCAATTGCTTCATACACTTGAGCATCAGTGGGCAGCAGCATAATCTGATCAACTACACCAACGGTCACTGCCCTTTAAGAGGTAGCCACCGGGGGTCCATTAGAGTCAACCGTAGTTTCCAAAATGGTCAGGCAGCTGGGACTTGCTCCTAAATCAGAATCATAAGGGACTGGGACAGTATATTTTGTAGGGGCATTTGCCTCATCTATGGTTATAATACTAGAATGAATTTCAACACGGGAAACCTGGTTGTCCTCTTGTTTATGAGGCACATTAAGATTCACAACCGGGGCAGCACATTGGTAATCATTATAATGCAAAATAGGGGCTGAAAGAGCCTGGCTTGCAGCAACAATCAGCCTGCTGTAATCAAAGGCAACATAACCTGGCTTTGTGCAATAGTATCAGATCTTACAGGGGCTTTAATTTGCAAGGGAATAGAATGTGCAATCAGGTCTGTGCTTTGGGAATCAGCACAATAAGTTGTAACCAAAGGCAAAACTACATGGCTTTCTGCAATTTTATCAGTTACTAAAGGAATAACAACACTAAAAGGGGGACTGGAGGCTGCCCGGGCAGATTCTTCACCAAAAACTGGGGCACAAAATTTAGCAATCAAAACCTTTTTTTTTTGTGGAGTTCTGCAAATCAAATTTATCAAGATTTAGCAACCCAAAACCTTTTATGGAGTTCTACACACCCATAATTTCCATCCATTTTATCGTAATGGGCATTTTAACAAACATATAATGAGCATAAACATAAAGAAACTAGTTCAACTAAAATTTCAATATTAACATCACAAACCTATAACAAACCTATATCAAAGAAACAAATTTCAATATTTACATCACAAACTAATCCATCATGAACATAAAAAATGAGTCGATTGTTAACCTAGACCCTAATAATCAAAGTTTTGAGACAAAAAAAAATCTCCAAGATGATGCTTGAAAGGGAGTTCGAAGTTGAGTAGAAATTTTAAAGATGAGCTGCAAATGAAGAAGAAAAGAAGAAGAAATAAATGGGATCTAAGAACTGGAGTTTGAATTGAAGATTCACCTTTGAATTTGAAGATGGAGTTGGCGCACCCCAAAAAATGTTAACGAAGTCCATTGTTTCACTATCAATAAATTAAAAAGGGAAGAAGAGAAGAAATCCAGCAGGCTAAGAGGCGAGAGGAAGAAAAGGCGAGAGGAAGAAGAGAGAGGGCTGGATCGTGCGTTAGGTTACGGAAGAGAAGAAAGAGGTGAATTGTGGGTGGGGTGGGAGACAGGTAAAAGGATGAAGGGGAAAGGTAAAAAACGGAGGGGTATATATGCTGTGTACACGAGCGTGTAAAACGCTGTGTACACAGCGCATTTCTCATCCAAAATATTCCCTTGACATTTATAGCTGAAATCTTGCCCCAACGAATTGTCCCAAAGAATTGCCCTACATGGTTTGAACGGGAACCTGTGCTCCAAGAAACCTTTTGTTGTTATATTAAGATAGATTTTCACCCGTGTTATTATAACGGAACAAAAATATATAAAAAATTAATTTTACTATATATTTAGAGCATTAGTATATGAAAATCGTCAAATAGCAAATGCATAGATGCACTACAAAAAAACACGCGCTTAGTCCGTACAATATTCACTACAAAAAAACACGGTGTTAGTCACGGATTTAGTCACGGACCGTAGTATAAAAAATCCGTGACTAACTCTGTTAGTCACGGACTTTGTCCGTGACTAAATCCGTGACTGTTTGGGCGTGACTAATTCTAGTCACGGTCATCTTATCCGTGACTGAGCGTAGTCACGGCTTAGTCACGGACCATTTCCGTGACTAACTTGTCACCGGAATAACCACACCGGCGACTTAGTCACGGCCTTTTCCGTGACTACATATAGTCACGGATTTAGTCCGTGACTAAATTTTCAAATTTAAAAAAGTTAACCGCCGAATGTTACTGTTTAAATTTTCAAATTTCAAATTTTAGTCACGGACTTGATCCGTGACTACTTTTTTATTTTTTAAAAAAAAATTAAATTTGCAAAATAACTTTTTTAAAAATCGGTCTACAATTTAGTCACGGCTCGGATCCGTGACTAAAGTTTTTTATTTTTAAAAAAAATTTTTTTTTTTTTTTATAAAAAAATTATATTTTTTTTAATTATTCTTTAGAAAAGTTTATTTTAAAAAATATTTGCATTCATAAAAGTAATAAACAGACTACTAGAACCCACTAGAACACACATTTCATAACCAAACAGACTGAAATAAAAGTAATAATAAGCACAATAGAATTATAGTAAATAAACGATGTTCAAATAAAAATGTATACATTTACAAGCTCCTTCGGCCACCATTATGATAATATCTAGAATCATCATATAGATAATCTTCTTCGGTCTCATCTTCTCGGTTGTCTCCAGCTTGGCCACCGCGACTGCCTCCTCCGCGACTGCCACCTCCGCGACTGCCACCTCCTTGGCTGCCTCCAGATGTTTGAAACAGGTTGTGAAAATTGATATCCTGAATAGAACCAAATGAAGGCAACCCGGTAGCAGAGTTGGTACGGAAATAACCGCCCATGTGCGGAACTTGAGGTGTCTGCTCAGGGTGCAGTACATACGGCTGAGGCTGAGGCTGATTCCGAATTCCGGCGCTGAGGATCCGTTCCATCTCTTCCAGCCGGGCCCTTGTTTCTTCATCTTTTTTGCGTTGCTCCTCCAAGGTGCGCTGCTGCTCAGCCAAGGCCCGCTGCTGCTCCTCCATCTCCCGCTGCATTTGAGCGATACGCGGATCCTCTCCGCGCCTTGATCGGGAAGATGAAGCACCGCTGCGGTCGTACAAGATCCGTTGCCCCTCAGCCCCCATGCACGGGACCCGGCCCTTGTAGACCCCAACTGCCTCAAAGATGGCATCATCCTCCACATCAGAATCAATCTCATCCTCCTGAGTCAAGCCTAATTCTGCCCGCCTCTTCTCAACATTTGTGTTATACTTTGACTACATGTACAAAAATTGTTAATTTAATGTTACTCAATTTGATTTTGAATGGAAATAAGTAACATAATAGTGTTACTTACTTCGATTTCAGCGAGGCGGGGTGGCAGATCGGCATCGGACTCATCGCCGTGCTTTGTCCAGCAGTGCTTGATGACCTTGAGAATTGAGACCTTCTTCTTCTCAGGCCCCGACTACAGTTTGGAAAAAAGGCTTAACATCCATAATTAATTGTTAAAATAAAGGGTTGTAATTGTGTAAGATTTTTTGAAAAATACTTACAAGATCTTCTTTATGTCTACTCTGAGGTTTGCGGCCCCCATGCCATTGGGTTTCTAAAGCCTTCTCGGACATCCGATTTTTCTTACCGGATTGACTTCTTGCCAAGAAGTTTGGATCAGAAGACCAGTGACGGACGAGGTTATCCCACACCTCATCCGAACACCATCCAGGCTTTACCCCGCTCTTTCGGGCACGCTTAAAAGTAGGACGAAGCCAGTTTGAAATCCTAGCGTTATACGCTCTAAGAATAGCGGGACCTTGGGCTTCAGTCCATCGAAACCGACCCTTTATAAAAAACAAATAAATTAATTTATCTTTTATCAAATGTTACGTTAATACAATTACGCAGAGAAAATTCATTTTTTTTACCTTGAAAAGGTTCCACCAAAGTTCACGAACCTTGGGGTCAACTTCCGTGTATGTTGCCCAGTTCCCAAGAAAGTGTCCTCCGATTATTAGTTTGATTTGGTCCAACACATCTTGATCGCTTCAGAAAATTAATATTATTTATTTATAAAAGTTTTGATAACATTATGATACATTGAAAAAATTATTTCACGTTAGATAAAATTCATAGTTACTTACTTCGCAACCATGTGGGGCGTCACCCAAAGCGCATTTTCATTGTTGCGCTCAGCTTCGGTTAAGGGCACATAGTTTGGGCGGGGACGCGAGGTTGATTGTTCATCGCTCATCTAAAATATATTAATTTATATTTTTAAATGTTAGTGTAGTTATAATAAACGTGTATAACATATTAAACTGTGTATAAGTCTAATATGAGAAGTCGATATTTTTTCAATTAATTTTTTTATAACTTTGATACAATACATTTTCAATTGATTGGTCTTTAAGGTAACATATTAAACTGTGTATAAGTCTAATATGAGGGGTCGATATATTTTCAATTAATTTTTTTATGACTTTGATACAATACATTTTTGTATTGATTAGCCTTTAGAGTAAAATGTTAAACTTTTGCAAGTTTACATGAGGGGACATATATACTTTATATAAGGAAATTATAAAAATCAATTTAATACAGTAAAAAATAGTTCGACTTATCAAAAACAGTTTTATCTAAAAAAAAGTTATCTAAAAACAGTTTTTTTTTGAGATCTAATAACAGTTTTATAAAAAAACAGTTATGTAAAAACAGTTTTATAAACCGTTTTACAAAAAATTGTTTTATAAAACAGTTTTATATAAAAACAAATTTGTATAAACTGTTTTATACACGGTTTTATTTATAAAAAGTTTTATAAAAAACAGTTTTATAAATTATACAAACTGTTTTATAAATACAGTATAATATTTAAAATACCATTGTTATATTTTTTATGTCAATTTTTATCAAACTGTTTTTTATTTAATTGATTTTTATCAAACCGTTTTTTTTATTAAACTGTTTTTTATAGAACAGTTTTTTATTAAACTGTTTAATACAAAAACAATATATTATTAAACTTTTTTTAAAATCTATATTTTACAATTTATTTCGGAAAACAGTTTTTAATGTCTAAATAATTATTTTATAGTTAACATGTCAAATTTTTTTGGAAGTTTGACATGAGGGGGTATTTTTCAAATAATTCGGAAATAATAAATTTGATTAATGATAAAATAATATTCATCCTAATATTGTCTAAATAATTCATGCATAAGTCCGAAATTAAATCATGTTTAACCTAAAAACAAATAATATTTAGGCATGCATATTAAACTTGTACAAAAAAAATAAAATTGAATCAAACTATATCTAAAGCATGTGTATTACAAATCAAACAAAAAAGAAAAAATATATTTTATCATCTTTGAGCATGCAAATTAATATTGTAATTCGAAATTAAAACAAAACTAATAAAAGGAAGAGATTAATATTGAGCATGCAAATTAATATTGTAATGTGAAATTAATATTGTAATCCGAACATAATAATAACATGCATTTGTGTGTATAAACGTAACAACATATACACATATAATCATATTAAATTAAATGTATATACACATAAATATGTAGTTGTAGAATAAATCATTAGGGCATTCAATGTTCAATAATGCATAGGAGCATATAAACATGCATTTGAGTACATAAACATGCATTTGTGAGTAAAAAATTAATTGAGAAAACATAACCTTGATGTGGAGAGAGAGGTGCGAAAAAAAAGGAGTGGTGGACGGTGGCGGTGAACGGCGGCAACCGGCGGCGGACAACGGCAATGCACGGAGGACGGCGGCGGCGCTGCACTCAGGACGGCGGCGGTGGAAGGGGAAGTTAGAAGGGAAAGAGTTTGAGAGTAAAATAGGGTTTGGAAGCGTAGGTTAGAAAAAAATCGCTAAGTGTTAGTTTTATATGACGGAGTAGTCACGGTCTTAGTCACGGATATATCCGTGACTAAACCCTTCGTAATCAACGAAATCAGCCACGCGGCATTAGCCGCCTTTGACCGGTTTAGTCACGGTTTTATCCGTGACTAAGACCGTGACTATTTCAAATTTTGAATTTAGTCACGGTTCTAGTCACGGTTAAAACCGTGACTAGACCGGCGGCCCTGACACTTCTCCGGCTGCCAGCCTGACAGGTTAGTCACGGAATTATCCGTGACTAAGACCGTGACAATTTGAATTTTTTTAGTATAAATCATCTTTCTCCGGCCCAAGAGTGAACTGTAAAAAAAATGGCTAATAGAGGTCCAATTGACTGGGATTCGATGTGTAGAGATATGAAACGACTTAAGCTGATTACAGAGCTTATGGAGCCAAAAACCGTGGAAGCATACGAGAGAATCAAGGAGTTGATGTCTAGACCCCTTGAAAGTTTTGGCGATTATAAAGATGAAGAATCCGACTCGTTGGGCAAGTCAAAAGCAAGAAATTTGTGTCGGATGCTTCAACGTGCACAAGAAGTTTCAGAGTATATGGACCCGATCAACGAAGAAGCTCGAATGAAAATTCAGGAGTTGTGGGCTAGGCCTCTTGAAAGTTTCCGATTGAGGAATGAATAATGTTAGTTAGGTTAATGTGATAAATAAATCTATGTTAGTTGTTTGATAAATAATATGTGATAATTTC